TTTGATTTATTAGCTGTTGCTTGCATGAGTGTTGATTGTGGATCCAAGCAAAACAGGTGACTTTGACAACTTCAAACTTTTCTCCATTTGTCATGATGTTATTTATAGATCCAGTTGTGAGGACTTTTGTTTTCTTTACATTGAAGTGCAATCCATACTGAAAGCTGTTGTCTTTGATTTTCATCAGTATTTTAAATCCTCTTCATTTTCAGCAAGCTAGGTTGATCATTTGCATATTGTTAATGAGTCTTCCTCCAATTTCAATGCCATGTTCTTCTTCATATAATACAGCTTCTCTGAGTATTTGTTCAGCATACAGACTGAATAAGTATGGTGAAATAATACAACCCTAGCACAAACATTTTCAGATTAAAATAATAATTTCCTTGTTCTGTTCAAACAACTGCCTCTTGGTATATATGTGTATATATTTACATATATCTATATATATATGTTCTTCATGAGCACAATGAATTGTTCTGCAATACCCATTCTTTGCAATTATCCATACCTTATCGTGACTAAAGCATTCAAAATTCTTTGCATAGTCAATAAAGCACAAGTAAACATCTTTCTAGTATTCTCTGCTTTCAGCCAAGAGCCATCTGATGTCAGCAGTGATATCCCTAGTTCCACGTCCTCTTCTAAATCTGGCTTGAATTTCTGGCAGTCCTCTGCTGATATTGCAGCCCTTTTTAAATTATCTTCAGAAAACTTTTAGTCGCATGTGACATTAACGATACTGTTCAATGATTTCACCTTCCATTGGGTCACCCCTTTTTGGAATGGGCACAAATATGGATCTCTTCCAATCCAGGCAGCTGTTTTCAAAATCTCTTGGCATAGATGAGAGTGCCTCCAGTGCTGCAGCAATTGGTTGAAAGATTTCATTTTGTATTATTTCAGTTACTGGAGTCTTGTTTTGTACCAATGCCTTCAGTGCAGCTTGGACTTCTTCCTTCAGTGCTATCAGTTCTTGATCGTATACCACCTCTCAAAATGGTTGAACAGCAACTATTTCCTTTTAGTAAGTGACTCTGTATACCTTCTACCTTTTGATATTTTCTGCATCATTCACTATTTTGCCCAAACAATCCATCAACATTTCAAGTCAAGACTTGATTTTTTTTCTTCAGTTCTTTCAGCTTGAGAAATGTTGAGCATGTTCTTTCCTTTCGGTTTTAACTCTAGGTCTTTGCACATTTCATTATAATATTTGACTTTGTTTTCTCCAGCTGCCCTTTGAAATGACCTGTTTAGTTCTTTGACTTCCTCATTTGTTCCATTCACTTTAACATGTCTAAGCTGGAGAGCAAATTTCAGAGTCTCTCCATTTTTGTCCTTTTCTTTCTTTCCTGTCTTTTTAATGACCTTTTGCTTTCTTCTTGTATGACAGTCTTGATGTCATCCCACAGTTCTTTGGGTCTTCAGTCATTAGTATCTAATGCATCAAATCTGTTCTTAAAAGGGTTTCTAAATTAACATAGGATATGTTTAAGGTCATATTGCCACACTAGTGGACTTAGTTTTTTCTGCTTCAGGCTAAAGTTGCATATGAGCAATCGGACAGTCTGTTCCACAGTCTGCCCCTGTCCTTGTTTTGGTCATAATATTGAGCTATTCCTACAAATGTAATCAGATTAATTCCTGTGTATTGTATCTGGTGAGGTCAATGTGTATAGTCGCCTTTTATGTTGTTTCAAAAAGGTATTTGCAATGAATAAGCCATTGGCCTTGAAAATCTTTATTATTCCATCTCCAGCATAATTTTTATCAGCAAGGCCATATTTTTCAACTATTAATCCTTCCTCCCTATTTTCAACCTTTGCATTCCAATCACCAGTATTATCAGTACTATCTCGATTGCATGTTTGATCAATTTCACACTGAAGAAGTTGCTTTAGTGGTTGGTACATACATTTCAATAATAGTGGTATTAACTGGTCTTCCTTGTAGTCATATGGATATTTTCCTATCACAGACAACATTTTACTTCATGATAGATCTTGAAATGTTATTTTTGACCATCAATGTGACACCATTCCTTGAGAATAGTGCTGATTTAGCCAAACTATAGTTAGCCAAACTATAATGTAGAGAATTGAACATGTTTATAAAAGAAAAAGAAACAAGTGGGAGAATCTAAAGGTGTGGGAAAGAGGTGGTTGTTCAGTTCAAAGTAGAAAAGAATTTAGAGTATAGGGATCAAGAAATGAAGGGTATAGAAGAAACATTTTGGGAACTACAGAGGAAATTAATGTACTCAGTGTTTGGAACTTGGGCAATTCACTATTTTGGGACTACATGATCTCTTAAGGATAATCAATATCTTATAATTTTTGAGTCATTGCATCCATCTTATTCTTCAACCCTTTATTCTTTGCCCTTGTCCTGTACTCTTTTTTTTTTAAAGCCTTTATTTTATAATTATCATGTTTTCTACCCATCTTTTCTGCCTCCTTCCCTTTTTTCCTCTAGTTCTCTTAAGGTCAGGTGGGGAATACAAGAAACATGATGAGGAAATTGGATATAAGCAAGAGATGTAGTTTTAAAAATATACATGTTCCTAAGGCTATAATCAGTTCAGTGTTTCATTCCCTCAAGGACCAAACACTTGAGTACAGTACTTTTGTTAAGATTAGCCGATGGCTGATCTTGTATATTTCTCACTCACCTCTTTATAAAGACCCCTGGTGGAGCAGTGGATTACGTGTTGGGCTGCTAACTATGGGTGCTTGTGGTAAGGGAGACAAATAAACCAGGAATTAAATGCTGTAGGATCATTTCTAGGGCAAGTAACGTAGGCTTCTTTAGGATTATAGAAAATGAGAGAGATCATGGTATATTTTCTGTATGGCTGTCTCCATTCCCACCATACATGAAATAAATCCAGTTTCTGTCATGGCCTTTAAGCTTCAAGGACCCCTTCCATCCTCATCTCCCACTATCCCTAATTCACTATGACCTCTACAGTCACATTTGTTAAATATGAAACTCGTGCTAAGTCTCAAATTAACCAAGCACACTTCTGTATCTGGGCACTATTTTTATTCCTTCCTGTTAGAAGTTGCTACCTCAGATGTTCACAATGAGATGGTTGTTGTTAAGTGCCATGGAGTTGGTTCTGACTCATAGTGGCCCTGTACATGGTTTCTGAAGAGCAATTGGTGGGTTTGAACTGTTGACCTTGTGTTTCACAGTACTGATCCAAGAGTCCACAAAGTGAGGTTGTTGTTGTTAACTGCCATCGAATTGGTTCCAATTCATAGCAACCCAGTATAGGGTTTCCGAAGAGCTGTCAGAGAATTTGAACCACAGATCTTGTGGTTCCAACCAACCTTGAAGTTGAGTGCTTATCCTATGGTGCCACACAAGGACTCCATTCAAATATTATCTCCTCAAAAAACTCCCCAGAATGGTATTTAAAATAATATCCAGTCCCCTGACACAATTTAACCCCTAATCTAGCTTTACACCATTTATAGCAGTTATCACTACCTGCTACTCTATTTTCTATTTGTTTTCTAGGTTATGTTGACTAGTTGACTATCCTCCATGACAGTGTTTTTGTTGCTAGTTCTCCAGCTTCTAGAATAGTGCCTGACACATAGTACTCTAAGACTCTCTAGAATGAAATCATTAACATTTAACACGGAATGCTGTAGTATCACATGAAGTTACTGACACTGCTTCCTAAAAGGTGGCTAATAATTCCCTTGATTACCTGCTGACACACTACTGAATTTTTCTTATCATGGCTAAAATTAACAATTTTTCCTTCCTGCGTTCTATGAAAACATACAAAGGCAGCTAAATATTATCAGCTTGATTTCACTATACATCATCTCATCCTTGCCTGACTTTGCAAACTTGTTTTTGTTAAGTACCGTGGAGTCGGTTCTGACCCATAGCGACCCTGAACAGGGTTTCCAAGAAGCGGCTGGTGAACTTGAACCTGCCGACCTTGATTTCAAACCGACCACGCAGTCTAGGGCATCAAAATACGATTATCAAAAATCCCACCCTCTCTAAATATCACACAACTGTGTAAGGCACAGTGAAGCCCTGGCTCCTTCCTCTCCCTCACCCTCATGTCTGATAAATTACAAAGAACGAAATCTACTCTAGGAGTCCTGGCATGGTGCTGTGGGTTAATGTGCTGGACTGCAGGGTTCCTTTGAACCGCAATGTCGACGGTATAAGCTCACCAGCCGCTTTCGGAAACCCTCTACAGGGTCGTTATGAGTCCTTACTGACTCGGTGGCACTTAACAACAACAAATCTACTCTACCTCCTGAACATTTCTCACTCATCCGTCTTTCGGTCTCCATGGTTACCGCCCAGTTGCAGCCACCCACAGCTTAGTTCTGGATTGCCGCAGCAATCCAGATGGGCCTGGGTATCCTCCCAGTCCCCCACAAATGTAAATTATTACTGTCACGTCACCAAACCAGCGCCGGCCTTCCTGCCGCGCCAAACGAACGTATTCGGTTTCCTAGTAGTTAAGGGAACAGTCCCGTAGTATTTTCACATCTTTAGGACACAGTTTTCGGTCAAAAATGGCGCCTTTTCGGCTTTTGGCTTCCTGTCTTCTCGGGGACCTTTCCCGATCCGTCCTCACTGGATTAGGTGCTGCCCTGGGACTAACTTACTTTAACCACATCGTCAACTTTTCTAACTTTTGCTGGGCGTTATTTCAAAGCAATGACCGAAACCGAGGATAACAGAACAGCGCAGAGATCGTACCGAGCAGTAACGTGCCTCAAACGGAGACGTCCCACCAAAGCCTCTGGGAAATGTAGTTTCACCTAGGAAAGGCCCAAGGCGCGGACCGTTTTGGCGCGGGCGCACAACCTCACTTTTCGCTTGCAGATAGTCCGCTCTAGGAAGTACTGCAGCCTTTAGACTTGTGGGGTTTCGGCTCAGCGGTTCCCAGGGCAACGCGCAAGCGCAGCTTTGATTTTAAGCTGCAGTCTCCAACTCATTGTGTTTTGACTGCGATGTGGCGGTTGCGATCTCTCACCGCAGGTAGAAGCTCCTCGAAGGGCGTCAAAGTGGTGATCAGGCACTGTAGTCGTATAGGGGGAGCGGTCGCAGGGTGGTCGGGCCAGGGGGAAGGGCAGAGGGAAAGCCGAATGGGTCGAGGACGTGGTCTAGTGCCCCAGACTTCCCGGAATGTATGTCTGATATTTAATCCCAAAAAGATAAAGGGAGGACTGCTAAGTGTGCACATCTTGAGTTAAGTTACGAATCTGTGGTTAATTTAGAGGAGGATGGGGCCAGGGTCTCCGGTGTGTGTCCTAGAGCTGACTCTGGTAAGCCTGTTTACACAATGGTGATGGCTAGCCCTTGTAGCTCTGAGCCCCCTGTGAGGATCTCACTGAGGGCAGGGGCAGCCAATGCAGTAGCTCCCCGGAGGCCTAGCAGGGAGACAGAAGGCTGGAGGGTGGCTTTTGTAAATAAGATTTCTCGCCCTCTCCCCTCCACACATACACACCTCTTCTGGCTAACCATTGACTCCAACCAGGTCACCTAAACTGGACCCTAGAGAGTGAACTTGGAAGACAGGAAGCCTAAGACCAGATAATGTGCTTGATCCACGCTTAGCATTTCTCTCCTTTCCTTTCCTGTCTCCCTCTAAGGATATTTAGATGCTAACGGAAAGATGTGATGTAAAATCATAGCAGCATGGTGAGTGATTTTACTCTACAAGTGGGAGATTCTAACTCAGATGTTCACAGTGATGTTGTTGTTAAGTGCTGTAGAGTCAGTTGTGACTCATAGGGACCCTGTACAGGATTTCCAAGGAGCGGCTGATGGAATCATTCACTGCTTTGATGTATCTGAGAACTCCCAGAATGTGAATGCACACAGCCTTCTGGATCGCTGTGACCCCTGTCTCATCTCATCCCAGGTGTGCAAGAGTTTCGAGCCAGACCAGCCTCCTCACAGCTTCACTATTCCCTGAGAGGACTCAATCACAGAAGGAGGAATGGCAGTCAGGCGCCTGCCAATTGTGGTCCAGGTAAGTGGGGTTTCCCCCCTAAATTGTCTTTTAGATTTGAAGAAGATGTGCATGTTTCTTTACCCCGACCAGGAGCTTTTTTTCCCAATTTAGTCTCATTCAGTGACCTGACTCTAGTCCTCCGCCTACCCCCACCATTAGGCTCATCCTAGTAGGTGTTGAAGCTAAGTAACCTGGTGAAGGTCAAAGTGCCACAGTTGGGACTGGAACAAGGTGGGTCTGACATGAAAATCTGCCCTCTTTCCATGCACTAGCCAATAAGATTAGGGGTCTAAAGTGGTAAAGGCTAACACAAGAACTGAGAGAAGGGAGAAACATGAAATCTTTCTTTGGAAGATGAGATTTACTGGACTTTACAATAAGCAACATTTGCTTTTTATAATTCTTTTGGGTACCAATGAAATTATTCAAGTGACTACATCCAAGCTCAAGAAATTCCTAAAAAGCTTTGAGAAATGCTAGCCTCTTTAGGGAAGTTTACAATGGGTGGGGTATGGTAATTTGGGTGGGGTATGGTGATTTGGGTGGGGGGTATGGAGATTGTCCTGGAATTTCTGGTGGGGAGGGTCTCCAGGTGTAACAAAGACCCAAGCTTCCTGGGAGATCGGAAGCTCAAGCCAAGCGGGACCCCATTCAGTGTCAGCTGGGGTAGTTGCAATGCCATTCTCTTGATCAGGCTCAAAGTCCTTCATTGTCTGTGACAAAAATCAGTGGACGGGATGAGCAACTGGTTGAAGGTTCATCCTGGTCACAGCCCAGCCACTGCACACACTCCTCTGGGTGTGTGACTCATTTTTTCAGGGCCCATTTTTAGCACTTTTTTTGTGAAGCCTGTTTCCATGATCCAAGTCTATTATGGCCTAGCCTTTTCTTCAAATTTATTGTCTATGTCACATAATTTATTTCATGTTTACAAGCTGTCTTCATTTGATTGCTGTTCAAAAGACATATACTATTAGGAATTTAAAATGTCTCAGGTATTATCAAAACTGAACAATATTCCCTGACAGTGTGGTTAATGGATTCAATCCAGCAAGTGTTTCTTGATTAAGTACTATGAACAAGAGTTGGGTGCAGGTAGCAAAATCCTAATTCAGATTACCTTAGGCAAAAGAAAGCATTTATTGAGAAGGTACTGGAGTATCTTCCAAAATACAAAGAAAAAGATGCAGCTGAACTTTGACTATAGAGATGGGATCTAGAATAATCTAGAAAACCCTAAAAGTCCTTTCTCTTGGAACTTTGGCTTTCTTCTCTGTGCTTCTACTTAATTCTGAGCACTCTCTTTGCATCTCTACCCACAAGACCATAGCCATACTATCTACTGAGTTTTAAATGTTAGATTTCAGGAACCCTGAGAGAGAGACTCTTTTTTCTCTCCTGTTTTAGCATATCCAATGAAAGGCTAGTTGTGATCAGAGGAAGGAACAAGGTCATGTTGTGCAGAATGATTGTTTCATTGGGAATTCTGTTTATGTGTTGGGGTGGGTCCGTGAGCAGGCATTGCTGAGCAACAAGTAAGAGATACTGAGTACATGGATCATGTTCTGGATGCTGGTAAATGTAGAAATGGCCCATAGCTGCTTGAAGTTAACAATCCAGTGAAGAAGACCAAAAGTAAAACCAAAACCCCAATAGGGAGAGTCAGTAGGGAGATTGTGCTGAGGAAATGAGTTCTGAGACTTGAAGTAAAATTTGGTCTTAAGAAATGAGATCAAGGGTAGTGGGGCGGGCAGATTGACAGAGATGGGAGAAAATGTTCTGGGTAAAATAAACAGCAAGTGCAAGTTCCAGTGCTGAGGAAATATATATTTCTTGGAAGTGGGTGGGTAAAGCAAAGTCAGAACCCTAGGAGCCCTTAAAGTAATGCTTAACTTTTCTCAGAACACCCACTTCCTTAGCAGTAACAGTCCTGTGAATCTCAAGCACCAGTTGCAGCCTTACCAAGAGTGCTCTGTGAAGGAGTAGCCCTTACCAACAAGAATGGGTTTGCTGTTACAGGAATCAGTGACATTTAAGGACGTGGCCGTGCTGTTCAGCCAAGATGAGTGGGAGCACCTGAATTCTGCCCAGAGGGCCTTGTATAAGGATGTGATGCTAGAGAACTACAGCAACCTGGTCTCAGTGGGTAAGATAAGGAGCCAATGAAGGCTTATCTGCTGATTTTAGCATCCTTGGTACCCTTTGGAATGAATCCTGATGATACAGTGGGTTAAGCATTGCACTGCTAACTGCAAGGTCTACAGTTCAAACCCACCAGCCACTTCTCATGAGAAAGATGAGGTAGACTATCTACTCCCAGAAAGTTTTACAATCTCAGAGCAGAACAGAAGCAGTTCTGCTCTGTCCTATAGAGTCACTGAGTCAGAATTGACTCATTGGCAGTGGGTTTGGTTTGGCGACCCTTGGGAATCCCTGAGCAGTACACATGATTAGTGTACTGACTGCTAACTGAAAAGCTGGAGGTCTGAGTCTGCACAGAGGTGCCTTGGAAGAAAGGCACCAATTCTACTAAAAAATCAACCATTGAAAACCATGTGGATCCCAGTTCTACTCTGACACACATGCGTCTCCATGAGTCATAGTTAACTTGATGGCAACTGGTGTTGGTTGGTTGGGACTCTTAAACTGGTACCATGTAGAAGATTAGATTGGAATTGAGTCAATTGAGAATGTTTTCAAGTCAAGTACTTACCTATTCTTGGCGTCCCCTGCCTAGGACTCTTCTAGAGCCTAAGTACAGAGGTGTCTAAGGGGACTAGGGGCTGATCCTCCATCCCTTCTGGCAGGGGAACTACCTGGAAACAGACTGTGTCAGGCCCAAGCCATCATGTTGAATCCATCCAGCTGTTCTTTATATCTTTCTGGACTTTTCTATCAAGTCACCCTTTAAACTAAAGATCTTATCTTTAGTTTAAACAGTTATGAATTATTTTGTTTCCCTGAAAAACAGGACTTATAGTACCCAAACCAGATATGTTTTCCCAGACAAGAAAAGGTGAAGAGTGGATGCTGGAAGATGCCTCGGGCGGCTCCTGTCTCGGTAAGATTCACACCTATGACCGGCATTGGGAAGGAAAAACTCAGCTCTTCATAGTTGGTGTGTCACTCAACAAATGTGCTAGGCTAGGCCTATGCATTGAGAAATGTGAATCTTTTCACTGCTTGTTCACCTCTGCACATGATGGTCACGTTTGTCCCGGTGTTCATTGTCAAACTGTTGTTTATGGTGATAGTGCCATTGAGTTGGTTCTGAATCTTAGTGACCCTGTAAAGCATTTCTGAGGAGCGGCTGGTGGTTTTACGGTTAGCAGTCCAGTGCTAAGCCTACAGACATACCATGACACTCCTGTTTTCATTGTAGTTTCCTCACCTTTGACCTTCCTTTTCATGATTTTCTTCTCTCCCTGTTTGACATCGCTTTTGTTTTGGAAAAGACCTAAAATGTAAACTGGGCAGCTTTAGTGGCCTGCTCTGCACCTGACAATACATGCTTTGCTAGAATTTCCCTAGTGAGAAGGAACCCACTTTTTGCTGACATTATACACTTCGTAGACAGTGATTTTATTTTTAAAAAAGAAAAAAATAAGCCTTTCTTCATCGACATTTTTTTTTTAATTTTTATTTTTATGCATACATCATTATTTACCTCTGTCCCACTTAGCCTATGCAAACCTGCCTAACTGTTCTCCCATCCACCTTGTTCTTCCATTCCCCTCCCATTTCATGTATTGCCCCCCTCCCCAGCACCCAAACTATCCTGTGTCTGTTCCCTACCCTGTGCTCCACCTTCCCCTCCCTCGCCTCACCCCACCCCTCACATGCTGATAACCAGCAAAGAATCCCCCCACTTTTAGTATGGGTTCTTTTTCTTAGTCTTTTACAATACTGGTCCTTTGCAGTATTTCCTTCATCTACTTTAATCTACCTCTTTGTGATGACTGTTATAACAGTAATCATACTTTTGCTTCTGAAACTACACAGGATTATACCAGTGTTGCTGCTTGTAGTGTGAAGATTCAGGGCTGGTTCTAGTGCTTAGATACAGCTTTCATGTGCCCACTAAGGCATCTCTTTTTCCAGCCAAACATGTCACATTTCCCCTACTCCCTTCATATTTGCTCATCTGCATATTTATATATCCAACCAGCATTTCTCTTCCACATTTTCCCGGACATCATGCTGGGTTGTAGGCACCATGATGGTGAAGACCATGTTTATGTCATGTTTTGCTTTGTCAGTCACACCTGGCACCATGCTTGGCATAAATTTGTTGACTGAGAACACAGAGAATATGACAGTTTAGTGACTATTAGCTTGGCCTGTGTAACCCATTGTATGGGATAGTTTAAGGAGAGGAATGTGGCTGCCTCCACCCCATCAGTATTCTAGAGATCTTATTATCTTATCCAAGACACATAATATATCACTTTCAGCTAGCATTTTCAGGCTGCAAAATTGGTTTTCAACCCTTTTGTTACTGTTTTTTCAAAGTAGCACAGTGAAGTAGGCAGGTATTTGTAGCCTATTGTAAATAACTGTTTACCCGGGATGTCTAAGACCCAATCTGTTAAAAAAAAATTTAAATGTATTAACCCCAACACTCAGTTGTCATAAAAGAAGATATTTTAACTTAACCCACTAGCATTCTGAGTATTCTATGAATGGGCATGTTCTTTTACAGCCAAACTAGGCACTTTCACTATTTCATTCTGTATTATATGTTGTTATAATCAAAAAAGAAAGAATAGGGCGGGGGGAAAGGAGATATTAAGCAAAGGAAATTCATCCACAATCTTAAATCCTACTATTACTACATATTAGCTATTTTAATTTAAATTATCCATTCATTCATTTAGTCATCATTAGCACTAGTGATATATTTATATAGGGTGAATATGAAGGTAAAGAGAGGATTTTATGCCTAGAAGGGATTTTGTAGTCCTGTGTGAGTGATAACATGGATGTTCTCTTGGTAAAGTTTCATTGTTTTGCCCTCCATTTCCCATTAGAGTTTTATTTTTATTTTTTTAATAAAACCGTACTGTTTTTGTTTTTATAGCTATAAATTGTTGTCGTAAAGAAATGCTAGTCATTGCCAAACATTCCTTTCTTAAACCCCCAAACCCCCAAAAAACAACCCATTGTCATTGTGTCGATTCCAATGCATTGTGACCCTGTATAGGATTTCCGAGGCTGTAAATCTGTACAGAGCAGAGAGATTCATCTTTTTCTTGCAGAGCGGTTGGTGGGTTTGAACCATTGATCTTACGATTAGTGCTCCAGTGCTTATCCTGCCACTTTATAACTCTTATTAGTTCTGAAACTGTTCATTAAATTCATTCTTAGTATTGTTTCCTTATTTCTGTTTCCTGTCTTAATGACTGGCTAGGACTTCAAAAACTGCATCTAACAATAATTGTTGTTGTTGTTAAGTGCCGTCGAGTCGGTTCCGACCCATAGCGACCCTGTACAGGGTTTCCGAGGGTGTAAATCTTTACGGGAGTAGAAAGCCTCATCTTTCTCCCGCAGAGCAGCTGGTAGTTTCGAACCGCTGACCTTAAGGTTCACAGCCCAATTCGTAACCACTGCGCTACCAGAACTCCTTTATAGGTCTATGTTTTATTTGTAAAATATTGGATTAAGAACTTTTCCATTGCTACCTTAACTATTCCTGTTTTAGAATACAGGTAGGCCCTGACATGGTTCCATTGTAACTTGAATATTTTGATTTTTTAACTTTAGTTTTCATTATTGTTGCCTAATTATTATCAGCAATTTTATAAATTCGATTTTTACTTGTCTTTGAACATCTGTGAGTGATCATCAGAAAATGATAACATCAACATGCTGAACACTGTATGTAGTCCATATTACTAAAACTAACATGTACCAAAAAAAGAAAAACAGACAGTTGTAAGTGCAGTTCGTCATAATTCAACTACATCCTAAGTCAGGAACGACTTGTATTCTTGTTGTTAGGCACCATCAAGTCAGTTCTGACTCATAAATACACTGTGTACAACACAAGGAAACACTGGCTGCTCCTGTACCATCTTTTCAATCACACCTGTGTTTCAGCCCATTGTTGTAACCACTATGTCAATCCATCTCGTTGAGGGTCTTCTTTTTTGCTGACCCTCTACTTTAAGAAACATGTCTTTTCCCAGGGACTGGTCCCTCCTGATAACGTATCCAAAGTATGTGAGACAAAAATCTCACTATTATTTCTTCTAAGGAGCATGCTGGAAGTAGTTCTTCCAAGACAGATCGTCCTTCTGGTGTGAAGTATATACAGTATTCTTCACCAATACGTTAATTCAGATGAATCAGTTTTTCTCCTGTATTCCACTTGTAGAAACCTTAATCACTTGAAGAAAAACTAATTCTGATAGTTTTTTTTTTTAATTTTTCTATTATTTGGTGTTGTTAGGTGCCATTGAGTCGGTACTGACTCATAGCAACCTTTTGCATAGCAGAATGAAACAGTGCCCGATCCTGGGCCAACCTCACTATTGTTTCCATGCTTAAGCCCATTGATGCTGCCACTTTGCAAATCCATCTCACTGGTGGTCTTCCTCTTTTTCTCTAACCAAACATGATGTCCTTCTCCAACACCTGGACCCTCGTGACAATATGTCCAAAGTAAGAGAGATGAAGTTTGGTCATCCTGGCCTCCAAGGAGCACTCTAGCCTTAGGCATGAGGTAATAGAGGGAGAAGAGAGCTAACATTTGACCATTGGGGTCAGCATGTGCTGGATGATTTCTGGCTGATTTGTGGTACCTGCCCTATTTAATACTTGCAACCTGTGACACAAGTATAATTAACCTCATTTACAGAAAACTGAGCCTAAAAGTGATTAACTAATGTCTTATTTAGTGCTGCTATGACAGAACACTTAATTGTGTTCATGAGGAACCTATGTATAGATCAAGAGGTGACAGTCATTCAAATAGAGCAAGGGGACACTGAATGCTTTCAAATCTGGAAAGATGTGTGTCCTGATTGTATTCTTTCACCATACTTAATCTGTATGCTGAGCAAATAATGCAAGAAGCAGGATTACATGAAAAAGAACATGGCATCAGGATTGGAGGAAGACTCGTTAGCCTACGATATGCATTTGATACAACTCTTCTCGCTGAATGTAAAGAGTGCTTAAAATACTTACTGATGAAGATCAAAGATCACAGTTTTCGGTATGGGTTACACTTCAGTATAAAGAAAACAAAAATCCTCCCAAGCAGATCAATAAATAGTATCATGATAAATGGAGAAAAGATTGAAGTTTTCAAAGACCATTTTGCATGGAGTCCTGGTGTGGCACTATAGGATAAGCACTGACAATGTCAGTAGTTCAAACCCAACAGCCACTCCTTTGAAACCTATACAGGGTCATCATTAGTCAAAACTGAATTAACAACAACAGTGATAACAACCTATAAGGGGAGGCTTTCTATATTACCTTATCAGTTTCCACAAGATTCTTGCTGGAATTTGATAATAATTAAAATGAATCTGTAGATTCATTCAGGAGAATTGGAAATACTGTATTTAATTAGCATGGCATATTGATATCCCATGCGAGTGAAGTTTTACTACAGGTAATATAGAAGTGGCAGCAATCATACATTGACAGAGAACTTCCAAAGGTTCAAGCCTATTTCAGAAGAGAACATTAAATAAGGGATATCATTGCTGATGTCAGATGGATCTGAGCTAAAAGCAGAGAATACCAGAAAGATGTTTACCTGTGCTCTACTGACTACTCAAAGGCTTTCGATTGTGTGGATCATGACAAGCTATGGACAATATTGCAAAGTATGAGTATTCCGGAACACTTAATTGTGTTCATGAGGAACCTGTTAATGGACCAAGAGGCAGTTGTTTAAATAGAACAAGGGAACATTGAATGGTTTAAAATTAAGAAAAGTGTGTGCCAGGGTTGTATTCTTTCACCGTATTTACTCAATCTGTATGCTGAACAAATAATCTGAAAGGCAGGATTATGTGAAGAAAAACGTGGCATGAGGGTTGCAGGAAGACTCATTAACAACCTGCAATATGCAAATGATACAATCTTGATTGCTGAAAGCCA